GCCATGGATATCGCATTTGATCATTCCCTGGATTTGATGTACAATACGTAGTCCTGACATTTCAGAGGATTGTTCTACTTTTGAATTAGGAATGGATACCTTCATTCCATGCTTACCAATGCTACATCACTGCCCAGTGATCAGCCCGCTAGCAATCCAGAGCAGAAGAAAATGGAAGGAATGCAGAATTAGCCGAAGAGTCACTGATCAGTCCTTACTTGTAGATTACGACAGCATCACGTAAACGGTCGGCGGTACGTCGGGTGGTGTTGGTGTTTAGTACTCAGCTTGCAGCTGCATATTTATCATACTTCTTCGCTCGATCATTCTGGAAAATGGGCTTGCATCGGAAGCACAACGAGCTGCTCAACGCCGATCACTGTGAAGCCGATTTGACAGCAAGTTATCCATACGAAATTATCATTTAGATATTATCAGGGCAAATTGCAGCACAGGAAAAATTCCTCGCCCAGTGAAAACCTGAAAAACCTATTCCTAGAATTTTGATGAAAATACTTAGATACATTTCTCTCAGCCAGTCGCATTTATGTCAGCCTGGTATCATTTTGACTGCAAAGTTTAGAAGATTAATTCGAAGCATCGAAATCCTGAAAATCAGCAGTCAAGAAAAGGGTAAGCGATTTTAAGCAGTACGAAGAGATTATTGTTGGAATTAGAAAACAATAGTGCTTTGCCTTTTTCAAGTGCTTAGGAGTGCTCAAAATTTTCTGACTGAAAAAAGAATGACAAATTTAAGAAGTAGGTGCTTGGAAATTGGCTAGAAACACATAAAAATTTTGTCAAAGTGGTACCAAAATTAGCAGTTTGGAAGTGATTAATTAGCAACAGTGAAAATAGCGTTTCCCCACGAAATGCTAGATTTTTCTTAAGCAATCCTTGAAAGAGAGAACCATCGATAACCCGTGCCAGCGGGGATCTGGGTACCTTATCTCTCAATGCTTGATTTATGGAGGGATTTGGTCAAATTTTTTTTGCAGTTTCAGGTTGCTTTAACAGCTGGTTCATTGATCGAAGGTTTTGCAACATTTGGTGGTAAGGCGGTGGAATTTTTTGCTACTGAATGGTACACTGATCCACGTTTCAGGACGCTTATCAATTGCATTTTTGCTGGCTTCATAACAGCGATCGGCGAGTTTTCGTTCACCTAACTTACAAAAGCCTAGAAGCTTTTAACTGATTAGCTGCTTTTTCATCGTAGCAGCTAAATACGGAGCGTTTCCTTAAATAGCCTTTCTTTTTTTATCAGACTCAATTTTTTGCACTTTTTTTTGCTGTGTTGATGAGCAGTTTTGACTCTACGGCATATCAGCAACAGTTTACCATTGAAATAAGTAAATGAAATATAGGAGGATTGATTATTCCATCGACGAATTCACACCGTGTGCCGTAGAACGAATAATTCGAAAAAATTTTTATAATTCGAAAGCTTCAAGGATATCTTTTCATAATAAATTCAAAATTTATACTTCGCAAATGCCATTTCGTCGGGAGACCCAACTTGCAGAGAAAACGGTTTTCTTGGAGTTTTAGCCAAAAAAATTTTATTCCTTCTTACAACTGGCAATTTCTCAGAGAAGCGAACGACGCGGACCCCTTTCCCCAGACGAATCCTCATTGGGTGACTCCAGAATAAGCAGTCGTGCTTTCCAGCATCTGATTCTATCACCAACCGTTCAGAGTATAAGAGACTTTTGAAATTTTGAGGCTGAAAATTGGGAGATCGATACTTGCTTTTTCAAACTGCTCTGCATTTTCATATAGTTACTTGATACTTGAAAGGGCTTCTATTTCACCACTGGTTCAGAAATGGTATGGTCGCCGGTAATCATGCATATGATACTTCTTTGTGGGTCAAAAAATC